GCTTCTGCTTCCATCAGCTACTGGATGAAGGATGGTATATAAGGTTGTCATCAATCTCATTATCAGAGAAGGGCATTTAAGGGAGCCTCTGGACTGTTGCTTAGATTATTATTTGGGGTAATCCTTGTAGATCTCTGGACATTTCCCTAGTGCCACATTTCTCTTTAAATCTATAATGGCTCCCTGTATTATGGTATCTTTTTTCTTGTTCTCCTCTATTCGTCCCCAGACACAATCTTCCTGATCCCTCCTGTCCTCTTCCCTCCTCTTCTCCCCTTCTCTTTCTCCTAAATCCATCTCCCCTCCCCCATGCTCCCAATTAGCTCAGGAGATCTTGTCCCTTTCCTTTTCTCTGGGGGACCATGTATGTCTGTCTCTCTTAGGGTCCTCCTTGTTTCCCAGCTTCTCTGGAAGTGTGGATTGTAAGCTGGTACTCCTTTGCTCTATGTCTAAAATCCCACACTTTTTTAAGTACTAGGTTTTCTTAGACTGCCAGCTTGCAAATCATGGCTCAGAGACTTTTAGTTATGAATGCTTGGCCTTAGCTTAGCTTGTTTTTAGCTAGCTTTTTAATTTACCCTGTTGGTCTTGATGTACATTTTGCCTTGGTACCTTTTACCTTTCTTTCATTCTGTATGTTCTACTTTCCTGTTTCTTTTGTGTCTGGCTGGTTGGTGACTGCCTGGCTGGCTGACCTGTGGAATCTCTCCCTCCCCCCATATTTGTCCTCTTATTCTCTCTGTCCTATCCCTCTCTTGCCTAGCTATTGGACATTCAGTTTTTTATGAGGCCAGGCAAGGTAAAACAGCAACACATCTTCACATAACTAAACCAATACAGCATATCTGTACATAGCTAAATAAACAAGTGTAACATATTTCTACATAGTTAAACAAATACAACATATATTTACATAAAGTAATATTCCACAACTTTTTTAAGTTGAGTTTTTGTTTGTTTTAAAATTGTATTTAATTTATGTGTATGGCTGTTTAGTCTGTGTGTATGCCTGTGCATGGCACACATGGAGTGTCAGGCTAGAAGAGGGCATCAGATCCCCTGGAACTGAGGTTATAGCTGGTTGGATGCTGAGACTCAAACTCTGATCCTCTGGAAGACCAGTCAGTGCTCTTCATTGTTGAACTATCTCTCCAGCCCAGGTTGAGAGTTTGTTAAATACATAAGGGATAGTCTCAAACTGCAGAGTTGAGGGCCAGGGTAGAGGTGGTGACACTTGTGACTGTTAGGAAAAGAACAGTAGTAAATTGAGTACAGTATATGTAAATTGTAGCACTCAGCAAGTTTAAAGCCAGCAGCCTTGGCTATGTAGTGAGATTCTGTCTCAAAGAAAATAAATATTTTAAAAATAAATACATAATTTTTAAAAATTCAAAAACCTGGGTGTGGTGGTTCATGCTTGTAATCTCAGGAGTCCAGAAGATGAAGCAGGCAGATTATTATCTACTTGAGGCCAGCCTGAGTTATAAATTGAGTTCTAGAGCAGCCTGGACTACAGAGACACACCCTGTTTCAAGGGGAAAAAAGAATACTATGCATTGCAAACATGGGTATAGGCTTCTAGAAGAACTGCCAATTTCCACAGTTTATGGGTAAGCAAATTGGTTCTGGTCCATGGTCACACTTGTGAGGAAAAGCCAGGACTGGAAGGCACATAGCTTGGCATTAGATTACAGAGAGTTTGAGGCCTCTCCTTGTGTTCTCCTCGACTACCTCTCTACCTCTTGGCTGTGACTGGCTGTGTGTATCATTTTCAGAGCATTGAGGTGAGCCTATTCTCCCTTCTCCCTTCAATGCTAACTAACACATTTCTCACTGGGAGTGGTGAGACTTCCCTCTAATCCTGACACTTGACCTGTAAAGGCAGGAATAAGTTTATTAAGTCAGCTTGAACTATAATGTGAAAATGCTGCCCTCCCTCCCCCCCAAAAAACCAAACAAACAAAGCAAGGACTTATGGATTTGATTGAGATACACTGTATAGATGTATGAAATTGTCAAAGAATAATAAAATATTAAAAAAAAACAAGGACCTGGCAGGGTTTGATGGTATACCTCTTTAATCCCAGCTCTCTGAAGCAAAGGCAAGTGGACTTCTGTGACTTTGAGGCCAGTCTGACCTACATAGCTAGTTTTAGGTCAATCAGGGATACACAGTGAAATCTTGTCTAGCCAGGCGTTGGTGGCGCACGCCTTTAATCCCAGCACTCGGGAGGCAGAGGCAAGCGGATCTCTGTGAGTTCGAGACCAGCCTGGACTACCAAGCGAGTTCCAGGACAGCCTCCAAAGCCACAGAGAAACCCTGTCTCGAAAAACCAAAAAAAAAAAAAAGATATATTTATCTATTACATATACAGTGTTCTGCCTACATGCCAGAAGAGGGCACCAGATTGAATTGTAGATGGTTGTGAGCCACCATGTGGTTGCTGGGAATTGAACTCAGGACCCCTGGAACAGCAGTCAATGCTCTTAACCTCTGAGCCATCTCTCCAGCCCCTGTGTTGTATTCTTTTATGTTGCATGTATTTAATTCTGTAAAGCTGTGTTACTTTGCCTGTCTAAAATACCTGATTGGTCTAATAAAGAGCTAAATGTTCAATAGCTAGGCAGGAGAGGGATAGGCAGGGCTGTCAGGCAGAGAGAATAAATAGGAGGAGAAATCTGGGAAGATCGAGGAACAAGAAAAGGAGAAAGAGAGGAGGACATTGGGCCAGCCACCCATCCACCAAGCCAGACATGGAGTAAGAAGTAAAGAAAGATATATAGAATAGAGAAAGATAAAAGCCCACAGGCAGCTGGGTGTTGGTGACACACGCCTTTAATCCCAGCACTCAGGAGGCAGGTGGATCTCCGTGAGTTCGAGGCCAGCCTGGTCTACAGAGTGAGTTCCAGAACAGCCTCCAAAACAATACAGAGAAACCCTGTCTAAAAAAAAAACCAAAAAAAAAAGCCCCAGGCAAAAGGTAGATGGGATTGAAAGACCTCCGCATCAAAGCGCCGGGCACTGAACCGAACCCTCTGCCCAAGAACCGGGGCCAGACCACTGGCTGCAAATGCAAGAGGTGATTTATTGAGTACACAGGCGCCTGCGGATACTACTGCAACTCGGGTGCAGAGCATACCGGGCTTGTAGGGAGTACAATATTTATAGAGTTTTTTTTTTTTTTTTTTTTTTTTTTTGGTTTTTCGAGACAGGGTTTCTCTGTGGCTTTGGAGGCTGTCCTGGAACTCGCTTGGTAGTCCAGGCTGGCCTCGAACTCACAGAGATCCGCCTGCCTCTGCCTCCCGAGTGCTGGGATTAAAGGCGTGCGCCACCAACGCCCGGCTTATTTATAGAGTTTTAATGGTTACATAAGTAACAGGCATTTCATTGGCTCATCTTGGGGGCAGGGGTAGTTCCCACGGACTAAGTTTCCTGGTATTACTTTATGAAAGACCCCGGCACGCTTCAGCAATTATTATCCGGGTCCCATGACTACTATGGTGATCGTAGACACAACTGGGGGCAAGGGTAGTTGCCAAGGACTAGGTGCCCTAGTATTGCCACATAAAAGACCCTGGCACGCTTCAGCAATTATTATCCGGGTCCCATGACTGCTCTGGTGACCACAGATCCTGTTTGACATCCTGCCAGCTGGGCGAGGCACCTGGTCTGGGTTTTTTCATTAGGCAACGGCCTGGCCTTGTTTTTCTTTTCCTAGGGGGTCCTGGGTAGGGGTCTTTCAGGATAATTAAGTCAAGAAAAGCAGGCTAGAGATAAGCCAAGCTACAGCCAGGCATTCATAAGAAGGAATAAGCCGCCTGGCATTGGTGGTGCACGCCTTTAATCCCAGCACTCAGGAGGCAGAGGCAGGTGGATCTCTGTGAGTCTGAGGCCAGTCTGGTCTACCGATCGAGTTCCAGGACAGGCTCCAAAACAATACAGAGAAACCCTGTCTCAAAAAAAAAAAAGAAAGAAAGAAAGAAAGAAAGAAAGAAAGAAAGAAAGAAAGAAAGAAAGAATAAGCCTCTGTGTATGTATTTGGGAGCTGGGTGTCCGCCCCCCAAAGAGCCAAAGAGCCAAAAGAGTAAGAGTAAAAAGTAAACAAAACAAAACACTACCAACAAGCATTTGCCACCAAGTCAGATGACCTGAATTAAATACATTCTTGAGATCCACTCAATAGAAGGAGAAAACTGACTACTGCATGTTGAATCTCTGGCCTTTACATGTATGTGTATGCATGAGAATATATGTGCGTGCGTGTGCGCACGTGGACACACACACACACAGCCTCTGGTTCTGTGAGTGCATAACTACAGGAAGTAAAAGGTCATTTGGGGCTCAGCACTTTGGGTAGAGTAGGAGGGGAAATCATCATTGTCCTCCCTTAATTTGGTCTAGGTTCCCAAATTCAGACTTCACTCAATGGTATTTGGTTTCAAAATGCTTTGGGATTGGACAGACTGGAAAATCCTACACGTGAAATCTCACCAAAGGGGAAGGCTGTTCCGATTTGTAATGATGATCTGTGAAATGTCACGCCAGACATTTAAAGCAACTAGTGCAATGAACAGCGTTTTTATTATATATAGGTGAAAAATAACAGCTCAGGCACAAGGAGAGACAGCTCCAAAGTCTTCAGGAAATATAAACTTCCAGAGCCTTCTAGAGGCTGTGAACTAGAAGGTGAACACACTGTGGATACTGTTTTGTTTTTATTTACTTTTTCTGGTATGAAAACTTGGTGGAACTTGAGGCTGTGAATTGGGAAGATAGGGGTTCTTTTTTGTTTTTTTTTCTAAGCTCATTGTTTTTGTAACCACAGAGGAAAAAGGCACACACCAGACCTTCTTGTGCCAGCCAATCAGGAGGTCTCTTGCCTTTTTCATCCAGCCTGTTGCTGCCACTGTGGGGCAAGGTCACAGCATCTACGGAAATCACAGAGACTTCTTAAATGCTCAGCCAGGAAGGCCGATGCTTTTCAAGGGCCTTTTTCTGAATTATGAATAAACAGAATGCTGCCATTCTTAGATTCTCCCTGCTTCTGTCAAAAATGAAGCCAAAGTGTGAGGAAACCCTCTTATACATGGTTGTGGCCAGCTGCCTCTGTGTGGCTACTATCTACACCAGCGTTTTCGAAAGTGTTTTTGTAGAAATGGGCTATTAACACTCTCCAGTGCCCAGTCTGTCCATCTTCCTAGCCCATGCCCTTCAATTCAATCATTAACATAGCCTACATGGTCCTGGGAGTGTACTGGTTACAAGAAATGCCAGCACCCCTAGATGCCCCATGTAGCTACAGAGAGCTCCTTACCTTAAGAATGTCTTTGCTAGCATGGTCCTGGTCTATGGCTCTTTTCAGTGGCTGTGGATCTGGACCCAGGCATACCCCACTGTCATGCTTGATCCTCACTTTATCCATTTTTTTTTTGCATGGCCAGTGACTTAGTGCTTCTCCCTATACAGAGGTTGGAAGCCCTGGTTGTTGCTCTGCTTTGAGTGTCTCCCTATCAAGTTACAACCTTGCCCTTTGTCCACAGGAGTTTGAGGTAGCAGTGGGCACTCATGTGCAACTGTTGGAGATGCCCTGTGCACCCATAGACAGTACAGTAGTATCTCCATAGCCACCTATTTAGTTAGCTTTGGGCCTGCTGTCATACCTGAGTTTTGTGGTCCTCAAGATGCGTGAATGCCGGGCGTTGGTGGCGCACGCCTTTAATCCCAGCACTCGGGAGGCAGAGGCAGGCGGATCTCTGTGAGTTCGAGGCCAGTCTGATCTACAAGAGCTAGTTCCAGGACAGCCTCCAAAGCCACAGAGAAACCCTGTCTCGAAAAACCAAAAAAAAAAAAAAAAAGATGCGTGAACATCAGCTTTCACAATGGCATCTAGTCCTGCACCTCACAGGCCACCTCTGGTCTAAGGTCTATAATGTTCTCTAATTCTACTTTTCATTTTTGTTTCTGATAAATTTAAACACTTGCTCAAGACCACATCCAAAGGAGAAAATGTGCTAATGTATAAGTAAACCCTGCCCAATTGATGAGCCTTGCCATTCAAATGGACTCTGAGATGACATTTTAATATCAGAGTTAGTTACTCTGGTTGTGCCTTATATAAGGACTCCATAAGAGGTGTCTGGGCCTCAGATTCATTCCAGGTGTCAATACTTAAAGGCTAATTAATCACGGTCCTCTGTGCAATTTACTTGCAGACATGATGCAAAGATGTAGTACAAGGCAAGTGAGTTCATCATACTGGTCTAGTGTGGGAACACCAGACCTTGAGCAGAGACCCACTTCCTCGTGGCCTGGGAGTAGGTAGCTGTAAGACAATGTTTACTAAAAACATGTTTACTAAAAACAATACAATGCCCGGGGCAATATGTTCCTGAAAAGGGCTTGCCCCTGGGAACCGCCCTGTCCTCAACCTTTTCCAAAGACTTCAGACCCACCCACATGCATCTCTGGTGTCAGGGTATATAATAACCAGCCAGAGTAGGAATAAAAGAGAGCCTTCTTGAGGAGCCTTCAGGTCTATGCGTTGTCAATCCCCAACATCCTCCGCAAGTTCTCGGACACAGGCTGCGCAGCAGGTGCGACTCTTCTGTAGTTTGAAATATTTAAGAAATAAAGCATCAGGAGAAATCACCCCAAGAATTCCACTGTATTTTAGGTTACAGAGGATATTGTCTGCAGTATCTTCTGGGTGTCAGTTAAAGGTATAGGGTGATGACAGCCATCCATTGTGAATAGAGGTAAAGCATGGTATAACAGCACACACCTGTAATCCTACCATTTTAGAGGTGGATGTAGGAAGATCATGACTTCAGGGTAAGCCTGAGCTCCATGGGGCTCAATTTCAAAAAACAAAACAAACTAAATCAGGGTTGGTGATCCATGCCTACTATCTCAGTACTTGGGAAGGAGAGGCAAGAGGATAACCACAAGTTTCAGACCAGACTGGTCTACATAGTGAGTTCCAGGTCAACATATCAAGACTTCTGGGAAGTCACTTACCTGTTGGGAATAATGGTGGCTATCCACTCTGGCTTAATACTTTTTCTGAGATATCACAGGTATACATGAAAATGTTAAAATACATTTTTGAAGACAGGGCCTCTTTACATGCTTTAATGTTGTGTTGTACACTATGTGAAGATGTATTGCTGTGCTTGGTGTATGAAGCTGGTGGGACTTCCATGCAGAGAGAGAACTCTGGGAAGAAGGTGAAGTTGCCAGCTAGACTGGAGGAAGCAGAATGGGCAGTATGGAGATGAGGTAACATCACAGTGCAGAATGTAGATTAGTATAAATATGTTAATTTAAGTTATAAGAGCTAATGGGACAAGCCTAAATTAAGGCAGAGCTTTTATAATTAATAATAAGTCTCCATGTCATTATTTGTGAACTGGTGGCCCAAAGAAAAATCTGTCTACAACTCTGTCTACAATGTTGTTCTTCAAAAATTATTTACTCTCTCTCTCTCTTTCTCTCTCTCTCTCTCTCTCTCTCTCTCTCTCTCTCTCTCTGTGTGTGTGTTTACATACATACTCACATGTACTGCACATACTGTGGCCCATGTGGAGGTATGTAAGCAACTGTCCAGAATCAGTTATTACCTTCCACCTTGTTGAGCTAGGCTCTCCTGTTTCTGCTGTAGGAGTACCTCAGATTATTAAACTTGCACAGCAAGCACTTTTACCCACTGAGCCATCTCTCCCCAGCTAAACGTTATATTCTTTTTTTCCAAAACAGGGTGTATAAACCCTGGCTATCCTGGAACTCTGTCTGTAGACCAGGCTGGCCTTGAACACAGAGATCCTGCCTTTGCCTCCTGAATGCTGGAATTAAAGATGAGCATCACCACTGCTGGGCTCAAAAGTTATATTCCTCACAGAAAGTTGCATGTCGGTCTACCCTCAGGTATGGTTTAATGTCCTTAGAGCGTTAAGCCACCTAAGGGTCATGGGCCTGTCACCACTGGAGAGACCTAGAGTATGCAAATATCGGGAGTTTTGTTGCTGCTATTGTTTGTTTCTAAGTTTTATTCATGAATTCATAGAGAATATTCCAGATCAATGAGAGTTTTATTCCTCTTCCTCCAGTTCTGCTCCTGGTTAATGTGGAAGTGTCATTAGTTGTGACTCTTTGTTGTTAGAAATTATGCATAATCAGTCACATACATGATTACTCAAATATTTTTGCTGTTGTTGAGATACTTAGCCTTTTGGAAGAAGGCACTTCAGAGATTACAGTGATCGTATTCTTACCCCTTACAAAGGTTATAACCCGTCCCAGATGACAGTTTTGAACCTACTAGCTAAGTAGTCAAACTGTTTTGAGTCAGGGTGCTCACTCCCTTGGGTACAGCAAAGGAGTCTGACTTTGGTCTGTATGTCAGTTCTCTCATTTTGCTCATTTCACCATTTTTCACCTAAAACATACCTAGTCTATAATGGAGGCTTTCTTTAAAATTACACATTTTTATGTGTTTTTCATGTCATGCATGGAGGTCAGCGGACAACTTGGGGGAGTCAACTCTCTCTTGGTATGTGATCATGCGGATCCTAGGGAGCAAACTCAGGTTGTTGAGATTAACAATCTCACCAGCCCTGTAATGAGAATTTTGTTTGTGACAAGGTCTCACTGTGTAGCGATAGTGGCACACACCTTTAATCCTAGCACGGGGGAGGCAGAACTCTATGAGTTCAAGGCCAGCCTGGTCTACAGGGCAAGTTACAGGACAGCCAGAGCCACACAGAGAAACCCTGTCTCAAAAAAAATACACCAACCCCCCCCAAAACAAAACAAAACCCACCACCACCAATAAAACCAGATTCACAGTCCTTCTGCTTTAGTTTTCTAACTGCTAAGAATTACAGGTGTGTTTCTCAACTCCTCCTAATTTATTTCAGGATCTCTCCAATTCTAGACCCCAGGGGTCTTGTCTCTGTATCCTCAAATACTGTTTAAGCATTTGTTATTCACTGGTAGACAACAATGCAGGCCTATCATGCACAAATCAAATGGATAAGTGAAAAGATCAAAAGAGAGGACAGAGGAGAAAAGACACCTTGTCCCTGCTAAATGGTCTGTGAGGCCAGTGTGCCCAAAGGCACCTTTCTAGCACCCCCAAAACCTGATCACCAAACTAAAGCATCTTGGTCTGGCATGTGATCTCTAAGATGCTTTAGGAATTGGATGCCTAGATTGAAAGTTCTGTCCTGGCTTGGAGCTTGCTGGTGAGTTGTAACCAGACCCACATGTGAAGAACCCTCTGGAAATGCCAGCAAAGCTCCCAGATTCAGTGCCTTTGCCCACTTCTCCCTGTCTTTCAGGATATGGGTTCAGTCATGATGTTGGAGGCTGCAAGTGGTACCTGTTTCACAAATAGCATTGCTCAATTAAGAGTGATAGCTTTAAGGTGCCAAACACCTTAGACCAAGGCTTCTTAAACCTTTCCACTCATAGCAGAATGTTGGTGACACACACTTTTAATTCTAGAACTCAGGAGGCAGAAGCAGTCAGGTCTCCCAAGTTCAAGACCAGCCTAGTCTACAGAGGGAGTTCCAGGATGGCCAGGACTTGCACAGAGAAACTCTGTTTTGAATAAACAAAACAATGACAAAAAATTTGCCACCCTTCTTACCAAAGACAATTCTATACAACACTGTGTGGTTGGGGGGCACACAAATAAAACATTTACTGATAAATAATAAATTTATTCTAAAACCGTTCTTGGGGTATACACAAAATTTTTAAAAAATGTATTTATTATGTATACAGCCTTTTGCCTGCATGTATTCCTGTACACCAGAAGAGGGCACAAGATCTCATTATAGATGGTTGTAAACCACCATGTGGGTGCTGGGAATTGAACTCAGGACCTCTGGAAGTGCCATCTCTCCAGTCCATACACAAAATTTTTAATCACTTTTAAAGAAGAAAGCTAATTTGATACTACTGAAATGAGCATGCTTATTTTTTTTGTTTTTGTTTTTATGAGACAGGGTTTCTCTGTATTGTTTTGGAGGCTGTTGGTCCAGCCCAGCCTCGAACTCACAGAGATCCGCCTGAGCATGCTTATTTATGTTACATAAATAATTAAATTTTGGCCAGGCAGGGTGGTGCATACCTTTAATGTCAGCACTTGGGAGGCAGAAGCAGAAGCAAGCAAGTCTCTGATTTTGAGGCCAGTCTGATCTACACAGCTAGTTCCAGTTTAGATAGGGAACATAGTGAGACCCTATCTCATAAAAAGGGAGAGAATGGCTGGAGAGTTGGCTTAGTGGTTAAGAGCACTTGTTGCTCTTGCAGAGGACCCCAGGTTCAATTCATAGTGCTTACATATTGGCTCACAACTATCCATAACCTCAGGTACAGATATGGTACACATACACACATTCATACACATAGTGTAAAGTAAACAAACCTTGAAAAATGTAAAAATAATTAAATCTTGTCCACATCTGATGCTACAGACTACAGAACATATTCAGCATTTTTATCTTTTTCTTCTTTCTTTCTTTCTTTCATTTTTTGAGACAGGGTTTCTCTGTATTGCTTTGGAGGCTGTCCTGGAACTTGTTTTGTAGACCAGGCTGGCCTCAAACTCACATAGATCTGCCTGCCTCTGCCTCCCAAGTGCTGGGATTAAAGGCATCCACCACAATGCCCAGCTAACATTTTTATTTGTTTGTTTGGTTGGTTGGTTGGTTTTTCGAGACAGGGGTTCTCTGTATTGTTTTGGAGCTTATCCTGGAACTAGCTCTTGTAGACCAGGCTGGCCTCGAACTCACAGAGATCCTCCTGCCTCACAGGTGACAGCTTCCAAAGCCACAGAGAAACCCTGTCTCGAAAAACCAAAAAAAAAAAAAAGGTGTGTGTCACCACCACCCCACTTTTATTTTATAATTATCAATGCTGAGAATTCTTTCTCTCTTAATCACTTAGTATGTATGAGATGACAGAAGTCTATTTCAGAAATTGTTGGAAATCCTATCTTAATCTCAAGC